AAAATTCCTTTTTTATTTTACTTTCTAAGACTTTATGGTTGTTTTGGAGACTAAAATTTTGTCTAATTGAAGTCCTGATTGGTTTTACATTAATATATGTTTATTATTGCTGAGAAATCAGCATATCTTTAATTTTTTTTACATAGATTTTTTTTAGAAATTAGGGTTTTTGGAAGTTGGAAACCCTTCTGTTTGCGTTATATTAATATTCATGCTCGAGAGGAAACATTGGCTTCATACCTTAAGAGGAAAATACTCTGTTGGGAATTTACTTAAACATGCACAGTGGAAATAAGAACAATTTCAATTCTCACAGGGATTCATCTTCGTATTTAGATAGGAATTGTGATAAAAGTCATACATTTTCTTAGATTTGCAAACTCCTTTGCGGTATATTTGTTCCAGCAACTTGGATATGCCTCCCACAGCTATCCAATTGTCCAGCTTTTAATGAATTCTACACAGAAAACAGATTGCAAGTACCAGGGTTTTCTCTTCTCGTGCTAGCAAGAAATATGAGATCCTCTACTGAATTGAAAACTCTAGTCACGTATTTATACAAGCCCAAAAGGATTTGGCTTGACCCGATCCAATATTTAATTAATCTATTTAATTAAATTCAGTCCTCGAATTAATTAATTGGATTAATTAATTCAGGCCTATAAATAACCAATCCAATTAATTAATTTATCCAACGATTGTTAAATTAATTAATTGACAAATTGTAATCTTCCAGTTCTCTTTTGTGTACGACCCATCAGGTTCCCGATCACGATGCCTAATGACGTGAAATATTATTTTGATCTAATCAAAATTGAGAAATTAAAACACCTTTTCAATTTATCACCAATTCACACTCGCCGTCTCAGATTGACATCTAGCAATGTATCGGGGCAACACATGTGACGAGAAATGTCACGTGGTATGACAAAATGAAATCTGTTCGTTTACCATGAAACTATATTTCCTTCATCAATATGATCCGATGAATTACGAGATATGGAAGTGTGTCAATTTTGATTATCGATTATATCTTTCATTCTATTATTAAGTTAATATGAGTCGAAAACTCCTTTTCGTTATCGACTTAATTGAACAAAATACAAATCACAATCTCTTACTATCTAAGAGTAATGAATCATCTATTAGTCATTCACAACCTTCATATGGTTCTTGACATACCCGAACGATGCTGTATTAGCGGCCCTTGGCAGAGCAACATCCAACACTATCAAAGCATGACTGTCCTCATACAAGGCACTGTGACCGCCTCAAATCAAAGGACCAATTCCACTACCGAACGTTAGAGATTAACCACTGATACTCAGATAGTTATCCATGTGGAATCTCTTAGCGGGTCTCCAATGTTTCGTTCTATAACAAAACACCCACGCATTCATTTAAGTGTCACCACCCTTTAGCTTGTGAGATCAACTACTTACTTCACAAGTAAGAATGCCACACATAATGATTTATCTGTAATAACGATATCCGTATCTCGTTATTACTTATGGCCATGGATTATTCAAGATCCAATCGTATGTAATTTGCATATCACAATCACAACTCCTTGTGATTAACAAATTATTTAAGCTTGAATATTCGGACTCTATTATTTAATATTATTCATTAGAATATTAATTTAAATAAATAATAGATCTTGTAAAAAATAAATGCATTAAACATATCAAAAGTTTTTACCAACTAAATCCATTGGATTTAGGGCATAACACTTACAGACTCGAGGTGGATACATTGGGTCTTGTAGATGCTGAGCGCGTGATCCTCAATGCTATCAAAAGTAAAACATATTTGGGAAGTTGGGTACAAGACATCAAACAAGAAACAAAGCTTACTGATCATGTTGTCAACAAATTGCTCAAGTCATTGTTGGATAGGAAACTGATAAAAGAGGTTGTAAATCTCCAATACAAAGGGAAAAAACTACATGGCAGTCAAGTTCGAACCCTCAAAAGAAGTTAGTGGAGGTGTATGGTATGTTGATGGAAATCTTGACAAAGAGCTTGTTAATGTTATGAAACAGTTGCATGCTTAAGGTGCATACGCATTGAAACAGTTGCTACTTTTGAGAGAGTTCACAAGCATTTGAAGAAGCAGCAAGTAGTGAATTTTGAGATCTAGCTAGTAAGTTTTTGAGATATTGAACTCAACGATTTTAGACAATGAAATAATTGAGGTAAAAAGCACTGGACTTGGTGAGTATTAATCCATTCTTTTAAGAATAGTTTGTATTTGATAGCTGTCCAGTTGTAGCAAAGGGTTCAAAAGTGGGTGCATTTGCTTCAATTCCATGCGGTACTTGTCCTTATTTTAAGTGGAGATTTCTTTAAGATGAGTCAGCTTTCAAATTAAAGCTCCAAATTCACCATCCTGTACCGTAATGTACAAGACACTTGTATGTCTGACTGATGTCGAACTGATTGACTAAGGCGAGACCAACACATTTATCGATCGGCTTCCATTCACCTGATTAAAAGGTTAAGAAATAAACCATTAATTGATAGATTGAACTATAGAACATTTATCCAAGAAGGCTGGAGTTTATAGAGTTCGTGGTGCATTGTGGACTATATAGATTTATATATTTATGGCTATGGTAGTGCAATGAATGCATGATCTTATAAAACTTGTCGGCTGTGCTACATGTATATAATGATTTATATACACATGATATAGTGAGATATGATTGGGCAAAATTTTTTTAAAAAAAAAAAAAAAAAAAAAAACTTCCCCATATGTATATAAATCATTATGTACAAGTAGCATTATTCTAAGCTTATTGCATGTTCAGTATTTAATATGAGACTAGTAGTATAATGACCAAGATTTTTTCTAATCGGTTCTTTTCATCCCATTATAATGGGGATGTTTCTTGGGGACAAACCAATAATTAGCAAAAACTCCACAATTAAGACCACAATCGATTGTTGTTGTGTGTTTTTCCCAATTCTTTTCTGTTTCTATGCATATGATATTATTTGCAAACTAGTTAAACAGATACTATTTCAGCATTTGCATTTGACTTTGATGATAATGTAAGTATATTTTTGAGTTGATTATTTTGATCATCGAGATAGCTACATTTTTAAAGTTTACCACTATCATCCATTATAAGCTATTGAGTGTTGTACATGTAGATTGGGAGATGTTTCGGCATCCTATATCTATAAGAAGGATAACATTCCTTACGAGAATTCAGTGCTAACACAAGTACTTGCAGATTTACTAGGTATTGATACCTTGGTTATTCAAATTTGCCTCTGAATAATCACTGCTGTATTGGTAACTCAAGGATTTCATATATGTGCCAATATACAATAGTATTTTCCACAATTAGATATAATACAATTCTTAGTTCTCTTCGATTATTTAACTTTTGTATACTTGAACAGAAGTTTGTGCTACCACTACTCAAATTGTGGCATAACTTGCACCATTTTTATGCTTTGCACTTGACATTTGATTAAAGTTGCACGTCCTTGCTTAATAAATGTTTTAGCATCTATCATGTTGCAGAAATACCTTATGAGAAGGATACCTTATATGAAAGCATCTAGCACGTCAATGTATTTTCTTTCAATTTTTCTTACTCTAGTTTTCAAATTGATATACAAGCCTTGCGTTATAAAGAAGGATATCAATCCAAAATGAAATGAGGATTTGACCGTTGTAGTTTGGCCGTTCTAATTGATGTACTTCATCTTCTTTTTATTAACTTAATTTTGTACATAAACGGTAATTTTAAGTTGTCTTCTTATATAAAAATAATTTTATTAAGAGAGAACGATTTATGACGACAAATTTATTACTCATTGTTATTGCAAAAATAAATTTTATGACTATTGTGGAATGTGTTTAATATATGTAAAATAATATATATAAATATAACAATATATATAGTAATTTTTATTTTTTTTTAGAAAATTGGTAAAAAGGCAATGTGCAATGGATGTTGCTAATACATTAACGGCAAAATGCAATGAATATTGTTAAAAATTAATGGGAACGTTGTTAAAGCATTAACGGCAACGTGCCATGAACATTGCAAAAAACTAATGACCAAATTTTTTGAAAATCTTTTGCAACAGTCTTTGAATGTTGTATATTTTCACTCTATGGCAACATTGAAACCCACAACATATATTCAAATATTGCACACGGTCTTTCACAACATTTTTTTTTGTCCATTGCAAAAGGTTATTTTTGTTGTTGAGTAGAATAAAACACAATTTCATATGACCTTCCTATATTTCTATGAAAGATGTGAATAAGGTTTGCATTAAAACGCCAAAAACCTATTGAAATCATGCAAGGCATAACATTATATTTTTATTCATTATCAGACTTCACACCAATTGTTATTACATGCTATCATTCTTATTGTTTCTCTTGAAGATAACAAAAGTTACATATGAATCCCATTGGTGATTGGGTGATTAAAAACCGTTAATAATATAACAATAATCCAAGATAAATGAATATCTAGCGTTAAAATATTGAAATTAATATCAAACTTCATAATAAAGGGTTCATCTATGTTTTAGCGATAAAAAATTTAGCCTAAAATTGCAAAGTCACAAGAAATCCTAATGGAATAATAAGATATTACTAGAAATTAAGATATATGAAGATAAAGAGGAGAAGTCACGAAGTCTTGAATCTCTTCAGTCTTCTTGATCAATCTCCCATTACTCATTCTTCTTCTAAAACTAAGAACAAAGAAATAATCTTCAATATTGGATTAACTTCTTGTGTCTTGATTTCTCCAAAAAAAGGGGAAAAAAATTGGTATTATGCCTCTCTTGACTTCAAAAATTGTATATTATAAGATATGAGAGAGGTCTTCAATTTTTAAATTTTTTTTTTTAAAATCGACCAATAATTGTATTGAAAACAACCCTCACTTATGGCGGAGGAATACTGTGATGACAAAATAGTCTTACAAATAGCGAATTTAAAAATTTTCTAGACCAATCAACTCACTTACGTAAATAGGGAACTCCAATGTGATCCAACCAAACAAGTCCTTGAGCCCGCTCAGGCAAGTCACCACAAGATGGAAATCTCTGCATTACCCCTTGTGCACCCATTTTTGCTAATAAATCCACCACTTGATTGCCTTCCCTGAACTGGTGTGAAACCTGTATCTCAAATAAACTCATTAAGTTTAATAACTCCTCCCAAAAATCCCACAAATACCAAGTTGTGCATTTGCGTTTCAACATCCATTCAACAACAATCTTGGAATCACATTCAATATCAACATGAAAACATCCTATATGCTGCAAAGTTTAAGTCCCTCAATAATAGCTCTCAGCTCAGCTTCATTATTTGATGCTGCTATCCCAAAGTTAGTGGCAAACGCCCCTAGCACCATCCCTTTATCATTACGAATCACTCCCCCTCCACCTGCTTGGCCTGGGTTTCCCAAACTACTCCCATCTACATTGATCTTTACTCTCCCAGCCATTGGTTTTTTTCCAAGTCACCAAATGTACAGGTGATCGTGTACTGACCACACATGGAATGCCCATATCTTTTAGGATATTTTCCTCTTCACGTGTCAATATTCTAGTTTTTGTAATATTTTTTGCCAAGTGTTATAGCCAAAAATTAATGGACGAAACAACATCTTCAACAAGTTCATAAACTTCCTCCATTCTTGCTCTACATCTTTGAATCCAAAGCCTCCAAGTTACTAAACATGGGATTAACCCCAGCAAGCATCTTAGTTGAGAGGATCTCTTCGCTCGAGCCCACCAAAAATTTATCCTATCCCACCAAGCTTGTTTTTCTCGCCATCTAACCCCAAGTTTAGAGGACAGTTTCCTCCACACCTCATCAACGAATTCTCTAGAACTTAAAACATGGTTAGCATCCTCATCATGGCCTGTTGTGCAACAATTACACCGAGACACCATAGCCACTCCAACTTGACGTATCCTCTCATCTACAGTAAGACTCCCCGACATAGCCTTCCATATCACAACTAAAGCCCTCTTAGGGAGAGTGTTATGCCATACCCATTTCGCCCGCTTCACAGTAGAAGACCTTATTCGAATCACATCCCAAGCACTACTAGTAGAGAATATTCCATGCGCATTTGGTCTCCAAATGAGAATATCCCTTCCAGGTTTTTGACCTCCTATTTTCTCTATTATATTTGTAGCCATATTCGTCCCTACTAACTGACCCAACCTATTAACATCCCAGCCAGTTTCTAGGCAGATTTCCTGAACCTTCAAGCTAGGTTGAACAATCTGATCCACTCTTTGGCAAAGTGGACCCTCCTCTAATCAATTATCATACCAAAATGATATTTTTCCTTCCCTAATCTTCCATTGACTATTAGCAACCACATCAGGGAAGCAATCCACCACAAATTTCCAAAATCTTGATCCCACATGATCCAACTTTCCGACATCCACCAAACCCTTCTTCACATATTTTGCTTTGAAAAAACGAGTCCACAGTGAATCAGCAGTAAGTAGTTTCCAAGCAAACTACATTTGTAGAGACTTTTGAATTTCGTCAAACTTACGAATCCCATGACCTCCTTCCATCAGTGGTTTAAAAATTTTCTCCCATGAAAACCATTTTTTCCTAGTCCTTTCATTAAACTCACCCTAGAAAAAAGAGGATAATTTGGAATTTAACGTCTTAAAAACTGATTTAGGAATACTTAAAACGGATAGTAAGTGGGTTTCCATACATGACAAAACATGTCTCAATAGAACAAGACGACCCCCTTGTGACAACAGCTGCATTTTCCAGCTAGCAATCTTTTTTTGAACTTTTTCTACTAGAAAATGTAGATGGTGAGCAGTCAATCTTCCAACCACCACTGGTACTCCCAAATAGATTATTGGAAAGGAACCCTCTCTAAAAGAGCTTAATCGAAGAACCTCTTGCTTGTGAATTGTCCCACAATGTTTAGCAAAGAATATGGCTAACTTCTCCTTATTAATAACTTGACCTGTCCATTTTTCATATAACTGAAAAGTATCCATTAAAGCTTTCATCGATCTTTTACTTCCATTAGCAAAGACTACGATATCATCAACATATAGCAAATGTGACACCAAAGGTGCACCACGAGGATGTGAAAAAGATCTATGCATCCATCTTCGAATTTCTTTCTGAGTAACCTAGTCAACACCTCTTCTATGATAATAAATAGATGTGAGGATATAGGATCACCTTGCCTCAGACCTCGAGATGGCTTAAAAAAAACCCTTTGTGGTTCCATTCATCATAATGGATAACCAAGGCATAGATATACATTCAGAAATTAGGGAACAGAAACTGTGAGGAAAACCAAAAGAGCGCAGTACATGCAGTAAAAACCTCCAGTCCACTCTGTCATATGCCTTTGCCATATCCACTTTAACCACTACATTCCCGCCATGAACCTTGCGATTTAATGAGTGAACTATATCTTATGTTAAAGTGATGTTATAAAAAATGGTCCTCCCTGTGAGAAAAGCTCCTTGTTCATGAGCTATAATTTTTGGAAGCAAGCTAGCCATTCTCTTCACTAGGATTTTTGAAAAAATCTTATACGCCACTGAGCACAGACTAATTGGTTGAAACTTATCAAATCCTTGAGGGTTCTCCACCTTTGGAATAAGCACTATGTATGAAGAAGAATAAAATCTTGGCAAAGGGCTACCACCCAAGAAATCGCACGCAGCCTTCATCATATCCTTCTTCATTATATCCCAGCATTTAATATTAAAACCAGAGCTGAATCCATCCAGTCCCGCGAGCTATCCATCGGGATTGAAAAGATAGCTTCTCTTACCTCATCTTCAGTAGGTGCCTTACACAATTGATCCCCCTCATCAAAAGAAACGGTCTCCCCAATAAACTCTGACAGGTCAGGTAGAGGCTCCATATGTGACTCTGTTAGGAAATTATTAAAATAATCTACCGCTGCATCATGAACCTCCTTGGGAGACGATAAAACTGTCCCATTTGACAAAATCATCTTCTCTATCCTTGAGCTTCTCCTTTTCTGTACAATACTTGCATGAAAGAACTAAGTAATATTGTCTCCCTCCTTCAGCCACTTTTTTTTTTTTGCCCTTTGTGACAGACATATTTCTTCCCTTTGCTGCCACTGTAAGAGCTCTGATTTAGAATCCATAAATTCCTTTTCCAAAACCTCTGAGATGTTCTCTTGCAATTTCAGCCTCTAGTGTCTCGACCCTCTCTTCCAACTCCGACATCCTGTGCTCCACCCTTCCAAATACTTGCTTATTCCAGATTTTCAGAGCAATTTTTGTGGTTTTCAGTTTTACAGCAAGCTTGTACAAACCCGTTAACCCCTCACCAATCCCATTTGAATTCCAAGCTTTCTCTACACACGGGATGAAAAATTCATGTTCAGTCCACATTCGTTGGAATCAAAAGGGAGGAGGCCCATAGTTTTCCATTGTCTTGTAAAACTGGACCAACATCGGGCAATGATCTGAAATAGTTTTTGGCAAATATATCATTTGAATATCTGGAAAAAGTCGCATAACATCAATATTGGCCAATACACGATCAAGACGTCCCCAACTCTGACCTAAACCTTCATGTCCATTACACCATGATAACTTCCGACCTTTACAAGGCACCTCCACCATCCACATGTATCAATGCAAGTATTAAATTATTCCATCGCCGCCAAGGGTCTCGGCCTCCCTCTCCTTCATTCTGCATCATTCCAAATTATGTTAAAGTCTCCCGACACCAACCATGGCAGACCAACCACTCGTAAACCTTCTAACTCTACCCAAAGACTCCTCATCTCTAAAGCACTACATTTAGCATACACAAAAGTAAGCACCACGCTATGTCCTCCCTTTGTCACTATACCATGTATAGCTTGAGAAGATGTCCCAATCCACTCCATTTGAAAATCATCCCTCCAAAAAATCCTAATTTTGCCCCCTTCTTTCTCATTAGAGACACATCCTAACATCTTTATTTTCTTAGCAAATGAATACATATGTTTTTCCTTGTGAAAAGGTTCTGCCACTGTAAGTATAGCAATATTATGTTTCCTGACCAATTTTCTCAGCCTTCCTTTAGACGTGCCCATCCCTCGCACGTTCCACACCACTAGCGTATCAATCATAAATCCAGTTTGTTAGGGCGTGCTCGCGCCTTTTGTGAATGCCTCACTTTCTGAGTATGATCGTCGTGGATGGGTACTGGAACATTCAACTCTGAATCTGAATTGTAATCTGCCCTTGCCACACAGTTGTTTCCCCTCTCACCTACATCCTCTCCATCCAAAACCACAGTAATCATCTCCACATTCAAATTTACGTGCTTCTCCGCTTCAACATTTCCTTCTTCCAACCTGAATTCATTATGCAAAGTTTCCTTTTCTTGATCTTCTTCACCTCCATTCCCCACCATGTTTTTTTTCTTATCATAATTCTCGTTAGACATATCCTCTTTTCCTTTCTCCGCCCCACTCGTTTCCTTTTCATCGTCTCCACCAACCTTTCCTTTCATCTTCATATCCCCTCCCTTATTCACCACCAAATCAACCAATTGTATAGGTCCCCTACTTTCCTCAATTTTATCATGTTCATCTAAATTTGGTTCTTCCCTTAAATCAACACTTTCCACCCCTATTTCCTTCTCTTCCAATCTTCAATCATTTTTAATTCACCATTCCTTATGGTTTTTCCCCTTTTCATATATTTGTGCCTTGCTTCCTTTCCTTGAAAGACTAGATTTCTGGCCACTTTTGCAAACCAATTCAAGATGACCTTGCCGACCACATTTTGAGCAATAAAAACCCGACTTCTCATATTGCACTTCCTGCCAAATAATCCTATCTGGAAAAGCGATTAGAAAATTTGAAATTGGTGCATCCCTCAAATCCACTTCCACGCATATCCTTTCCCCTGTAGCTCTTGTCCGATTTAATGTGGTGTGATCTGTACACAAATATCTCCCAATGCGCCATGCCAGAATTTTCAAACAATCCACACGGTATAAATGTAGGGAAAGTCGAGGAAGAAAGATCCACTGTGGAGCCAAAGGTGATTCCCTGCTCAAATCAAAGTCTGGTGTCCATTTGAATAGGCAAAAATTTCCCCCAGCAATAGTATGCCCTTCTCTTGCCCATGTATGAATATAGTCAATCTCATTCCTTAATTGAACCAACACATGCTTCGAATCTATAAAGCTGACAATCGGAATCTCTCTCAATCCCCAAGTCTTGTTGATGGACTGCCTAATCGTGTCAGTGTTAGGCCTAAATGACAATAATTTTAGCACCAATCCAAACTGAAACTCCTTTGCCAATTTCTTCACTTCTAGCTTTGAAAATCTAAAGCCCATATCCCCATCAATCTCCACCAGATATTTCATCGCCAGATTTTGTTTTGGAGCCGGCTGTTCTCCACCTCGCGCTGTGATGACCTCCAGAAATGAGCGGCTCCTAGACACTCGATCGTTAGCCATCGTAGATCCCGCCGGCCCTCCTCGTGGAAGCCCCACTTCCGATTGGGCGAGCACCGTCATGACCGGCCGCCACCAAAACCTAAGCAAGTCTTGAAGATTGCCCTCCGAGAAAATCGCTGCCCCGTAAATAGAGGTTATGACAATGAGGTCTTCAATTATTGACTGAAGTTTTGTATTTATATAAGTCAAAATTAGGTCAAAATTCAAGTCTAAAGTGGTTTCCAACTTTCCATGATAAAGTTTAATCAAGTAATGAAACCAGAATTCTGCTCGGAAACCTTCCATGCGATTGCACCATAGTTGTGGGTTGTGATCACAAAGTTTAGTGTAGTTGGGGTCTGTTTCTCCAATTTTTATGCTTGCGATCCATAGGCCCTTAACTTTCCCATTCGTTTAGCTTGTTCCTTGACTCCGCTCTTGCTTAACCTAAGTCCTTTTTACTCTCCTTTTGGTCCTTCAACTTCTAATTTCATCCAATTCGATCCATTTAATCTTCAGTCTTCATTCTTTGCTCAAATCAACTATTGAACATTTGCAATTTAGTCAGTGAACTTTGGAATTTTACCTTCGTACCCTTTTGTTGGGTGTAGGAGACACGTAGCACCTCTTCCCCTACATAAATACATCCCCTAAATTCGTTTCTCTTGATGCAAAGACAAAAAGATGGAGTTAACAAAACAAAACTACCCTTTTCAACTAATTCAAATTTTGAATAAAACCAGCTGCTCCTGCACACCCTTTCCTAAGAAATAGGCAGCGATGCAATTCTTTGTCCTTCTTAGATTATATTGGGCAAACTCAATGAAAAATCATGTACCTCATTTACTTAAAGGCACAACATTCAACTATCAACGCATTAAAAACCTCTTGACAAATCAACGATATCTATATAAATATGCTTTGCATGATTGCAGTGTTGTTTCCATCACTCCAGCTTTGATACTTTTATTTTCTACTATTTGTGAATGTTTGTGTGGTGAATATTATGCTCTTGTTTATCGCTTGAACTTCTATGTTGAATATCTTTTTGGTTGATTGAGCAAAAAGAGTAAATCAACATAAGAATGTTAATCAATTGTTGGGTCGTAAAAACATGTATTTGATCTTGACTTCCCATTTCTCTATGGTGTGATTTAGAATGACCTGTTTGATTGATCATTTATTTTTTGAACCGGGTCACTGGCACAAATTTATACCTTTCCTTTTTCTTTTCTTTTTTTTATGCGCATGTTGAAAAATTTGTGTAGTTAGCTATTTTGAGGAAAAATAAAAATAAAAAGAATAGATTTTGATTGATGGGTTTAAAATTTAACTTAATTATCAACTTCCAATAAAGGGAAGCTACTCATATATCTATGGTGGTTTTTTTTTTTTTTTTAATTGGAGGGTGACCTTTGATCGTATATACATTTAAATACAGTTAAATTTGTTTTTCTTCCCCCTCCCATTGATGAGATGCTTAATTGTTAGTTTTTTATTTTTTCTTGTAAAGTTGGTGGTATGTTTTTGTTTAAATTGGATTCAAGATTGAGAATATTGAGAGTATCTTTTTCTACTGTTGCAAAGAAGATGTTGATTTCTTACTTAGGAATATGTGATTCTTGTCAAGTGGCTGTGCATCCACTAATTTCTATGCCAGACATATATTCAGTTTTTGGAGTGAAATTTATGAGGTTGTATAACTGTCTGGAGGGTTGCCAATTGTGAAATCCAAGCTCTCAAATGAGAAGATGATGGTATCCGCAATCCAGCTTCTTTAGCCACTTCCATATATGAATCAAGTGGTGAAGTTTATGTATATACCTTTTCCTGGTCAATAAGTACAGGCATGGAGTGAGATGTACGATGTTGATACATAGCAAACTAAGCTGCATCTTTTCGCCTAGAACCATTCATCAGTGACCAATAGAAGGCTACCATTGTGGCTGATTTCTTAACAATGGAGGTTCAGTTCGAAGATCAACACTTCCAATTTATAGGTTGGAGTGAAACACGTTTGTTTTGGTGTTGAAATAGCATCCGTAGACAATATTTTGCGATTGTTGACTATCTGCCAACTGTTACATATTGGATTCATATAGGAGTTTCAATCTCAACCTATTCTTTTTGAAATTTTTCTTAAGTTTCTATTCGTACTTAAACAATATATAACTAACTCAATAAATAAATAGCTGTAATGAGAAGGTAAATATAGTGAATACTAAATGTTCATATCAATAACAAAAAATATAAAAACAAAAGAGATGAAAAGTAAGTTAATTCAAACTAGCCTAAAAACATCTTTCATGTTTATAAATGATTTTTTCTCAAATTTAAATACATTTATTTTTAACATTAACTACCTAACGTGCAACGCACGTTCACCTTACCGGTACTTATTTAAAATTATGATGATATTGTTGAATGTGTAACTGAATTCTCTATTTTTACCTTCTTATCCGGAACACTATAACCTCCCCTCTCGACTACATTCCATTCGGATTTTGCCTGATTACTTCTTTTGCCCTCATTCGGTGAGGAAGAATTGAGTTTGACTAGAATATTTAGAATCCCTGTGCTTTAGTTATCTTTAGTTCTATTTGTTATGCTACTAATGCTCGATCAGCTATTGCTGAAGAAGTAACTTCACTAGTTTGTGCCATACTTACATCTCGATTCATCTCTCAACACAATCCCTTGAGAAACGTTCAATTTTAAGTTCGTCTGTACTGACCATGAATTGAGCAAAATAAGACGACTCATCCATCTTCTGAATGCACTTGCTATTGATGACTGAAGTCATCGAGTATTTTGTTACGCATAGAGAAAAAAGAAAAAAAGAAAAACGAGTACTTATTTTGACAAAGAAGAGCATGTTAATTAAAATCCTGGTGCTTCGCAAGAGCCATAACGGCCATGGTAAGCTCCGCCAGAACTACCAGATCATGAACCCAAGGCAGCATCTCTGCAATTTTGGCTTTGAGTTCTATGCTATTTACTTTTTCGGAACTTCTAGACAGGTTTTCCTACTCTTAATAAAGCAAGATAACTTCTCCGTAGATGATAGCACTGATTCGGTACCTCCGGATTGCAGACACTACCTTTGATGATAAGCGTAGACATTGTGCCATTCTGAAATTTGACTATATGCAGAGATTCGTTCAATGGTACAAAGCCAATTTTTGGGTTGAATAGGGTCTGTTACACGTTCTCCACTTTGCCTCAGTTCAAACTGGGTTGGGCTTTGACATTGATTTATCCACTAAGTTATTTGCTCAACTAACTAGGTACAACATTTCGATCATTATCTGAAGAATATTTTAATAATAATTAGGGTTTTTAACTATATGAACTAATTATTCAAGGATGTCTACCACTTCTACAATATTAGGTGTACCCAGCCATTTTTATAAAAATTAAGTTCATTCTCACCAGTCACAATCATATAAATTCGAGGCAGTTTCAACTTACATCCTCATGTCACATATGGATGCGTACTTTGCCCGCTTTGTGATCTCATGATTACGTACCAATGACTAAGGAGTTTAGTCTTGGCCTAAAAGGGGGGAGACTTAAGAAAGGAAGGAAGGAAGGTAGTAATCCACCTCCCCTCGAATTTTATCCCTTTCGGGAATTAAAGAGATATCACCACGGGTAGGTGGGAGTAGTCATCTAAAAGAATGGAAAATTGGTTATTTTGAAGGAATTAGGACCATTAGATAGCCATCTCCTTTTTTAGTGAATGGAGGCATCTTAGAACACAAATGAAGAGAAGGTCTATGGTAGAAGTATGCTAGGAAATAGAGTAAACTGTTGCAGGTAAAGTGCAGAATTAGCACTCTGGAATTCCAGGCTAGGAATAAATCTACCACTGAACTAGGCTTCCTCTTAGCATTGAAACACGAAGAGTAAGCAAGATTTCGATGTTTTGAGGGGAGGAACCCCAAGGTGAATAAAGTTTCGAGGATGAATCTAGTCCAACTCGGGTAGAATGATGAAGAAGAGTTCGACTGAGTCTATTTTAATGTTTTTAACAATTTTTATTATCATTTATTATTAGTTATTATTATCAATTTTCATGAATTGAGGGACCAATTATGCAATTTCAATTAACCTTAAATTTCGCGCTTTAATTACCGGCCGCAAGTGTGTTGTCAATATTCTTTATAAATCAACGATATCAATAAATTTTCAATATTCACGCACGAATCAGCTAGTCCTATTGTCACTTCCCGACATTTTACGTGAATCAACAAGTATTGATTTGCATTTTCCGTTTGTTAACACTTGCGCCGCATCACTTTTCAATCGAAAACATGGAGATGTGTGTGTGAGTAAGTTGAGTTTATAGACAGGCACATAAAATATAAAACGCTAAGATGGAAAACGTATTACCCGAGAAAATCCTTTTTTTTTCCCCTTCAGAATATTGAACATATGCTACAAGGAACAATATCCTTCAAAGTCTATATGGTAAAATGATATTATCCCCGGAAACATAGCAAAAAAATACAATAAAGAATTTGAGGGAAAGATAACATAGGACTCTTCAATAGATGGAAAAATGTAAGTGTTACCTGAAGGAAGGTGCTCCATGAAAATAATTCTACCTCCTATCCTTTTGACGAACTCTATACTTACATCTTGAGTTTGACGGGGTTGTTAGATAAATTTTTATTTGGATTATTTTAGCCTTTTCTATTGTTCGGGTACAATTTATAAACAATAATATTTGACTTTGACTAAGTTTATAAACAATTTATAAATTGGCCGTCAAATATAGAGATGGCAAAAATATTCGTCAAACTTGATACCCGCAGGGACTCGTCCTAAACGGGGCAGGAATTCTACCCCGAGGCCAGTATGGTGTGGGTTCGGTTGACAGCCCCCCCCCCCCCCCCCCCCCCAATTTTTATTATTAAGAATTTAATACTTTAAAATTAGAAAAATTCCAAGAAATTCCTTAATTCTATTAGAATAGGTAACTAAGGGGGTGTATTGAATTGAGAATTTTAAAGACTTTGATGGACTATTTTTAAGTGATGACTTTTGTGAATTTTTTATAGATTTATACGGAACTAGTGGAAGTCTTTCAGTAGACTTCTATGAATTTTCATTTTAAAATTTTTATAGATTTTTGTGAAATTTTTATCAAATATATTCGAATAATTTAACTTTTAAAAATTAACAAACTAATTAAAATTTTTAGTAACTATATTATTGTTTCACTTGAATAAATTGGGGCATTAAAAAGAATTATAAAAAAAAAATTAAATGGATACGTAAATGGGGCACCACCCCTCCCTGCCTTGCCTTAAATGGGTAACAGGGTAGGTATGGGGCGGGAAAATGCCCAATGGCCCCACTCGCCCTATTACCATCCATAGTCAAACAGAGGCTTAAAAGGCAACCAACAACGCTGTCTAACGACCTCAACTCAATGATACAAATAGAAGGAAGAGTTAACAATCAAGAAGAGTGGGAGTCTGCTCCCCAACTCTTATAATTTTTTATTCAAATTCACTGCCTTCAATGGTAAACAGAGGTGGGGTTTTTAAACCCTTATTACAAACCAGAATTATTGCATATATAAACCTTATTGAACACACCTGCAGTAATGGAAAATAAAATATGAAATTGGACATAATTATTGGACGCATTTTCTTGTCTTCCAAAGAATGGCTTCAGTTCAGAGGGTCAACTTCCAGCTGAAACCAACCTTTCTGCACTTTCTTCAAGCTGCACCACCTAGTGTGGGAAATTTGATTTGCACAATCTCCCCATCAATACCCCATGCATCAAGCTATTTGACAAACCGAAAAATATTACAACAATTAGATTCAACAGAATGAAGATTTTACATTTTGGTGAAGCAAAATCTTGACTGGAAAATAATGAAATACTGTGAAATAAATACATACCACAGAACCAGTGCAAATCAGTAAGATCACATTTAAGCGGCGCTTTGGTCTCTCCCAAGACCCTTCAGTTTTCGAAACTTCTATGGTTACCACGGAAGACTGAAGTTTAGCAACATATGTTGTCAACAAGTATTCTCCATTAAGGTATTCATATCCATCACCAGCATCTTCATAGAGAAAACCTTCAGCTTTACCTGTGATTAAAGAGAAAAAATTCATTCATTTAATTATTCCAGCTGCATAAACAAAATTATTATTTGTTTGCAACCTTCAGCAGAAGTAAAGATACGTGCCTGCAAAATATATAAACCGGAAAAATTACCATGTTTGTCCAAAGCCACCAGCAGAGTTATATCATCTTCACGTTTAGCTTCACCAACATTTTGACAAGGAGGAGCCAAAGGAATGATGGATCCTCCTTTTAGGTACAGGAATGGCAAATCCTAGTGCAACCAGAAGTTAAAAAGGCACAAATTGTTGATAAAAGAAAATTCAAAATAAAATGAAAGGTCATATAATAGGTCATTTAGAAGTACCTGATGATAATCATCAAAATCAAAACTAATCCATATTCCTTTAGGCAACTCGTGCTGCTCTTGATAATTTGACGCATCGCTGGTGCTGCGAAATCAAATACAGTACAACAGAACTAAGAAAAAAATACTTCCTATTTTAGCACCTAAGAGGGAAGTTAACTCGTAAAAGAGAGCATATTTGATGGCAATACACGTGTTAATTCCAAATATGGAATCAACCAGTGTCTTTAAGCTCAAAAGAGGTGAGAACCTGGCATATACAAGAACTGGTCCCAACAAGAATGAATTATCTTGTTTTCTTAACCCCATATCTTTGGGATCTGCAAAAGAATCATAACATTAATAACCAAATACAGGTGAATGCATTCTAATGCAAATGTCAAGAAGTCCAGTTCATTGACCATCATAGGAACTTACCAGCAAAAAAGGTTGGAGTCGCCACCGGGGTACCCCGTGTATGTGCCAAGTAAAACAGATTGTATATGTGAGGTAAAAGCTGATACCGCCTCCTCAATGCTAATCGACAAACTTCTTCACACTAAGAGAGATAAAAGACTCGCACTTGAGGAAATGAAGAGTAGCTAGCAGTAATCTTAAAGCAAATGCATCGATGACTAATGAAGTGTATAAGGGATTAGAGTTCATGGCAAAATGGGACCATCACAAGGCAAAAGTTGGCAAAGAGGGGCAAATGATTTCATGATGACTTTGGGTTTGCTCGTTTTTGGCAAATCGCTAGTCTAATTTGATTGGAGTCGAGCCAAGGAATAAAACTCAGCGCCTTTGGCCCTGATGCAAGGCCAATTTCGGGCAAAATCCACCGTTTAGGCCCTCGTTTAATCGTTTTTACTATTTATGGTAATTTTCATTTTTGCAATATCTCTTTCCATGAAATTCGGATTTAGATTCCGTTTGTTGGAGGATGGTCCTGAAAATAAGTATTTTCCATCTTAATAATTATCTCATATTTTCCATTTTTGGAAAAAAATATCTTTTATTTTATTTTATTTTATTTTCTGGATTCTCCTAGGTTTTTCTTCTATTTAATCAGTTGTAAGCCCTTAGAGGCAGCAGTTCTAGAATTCAATAAAATCTTCCTTAAGAATTTTTTCAATTTGTGATTGTTCATCTTTCCTATAATATTTCCGCTAAGTCAATGACAATGTCACGACTAGTAAAATTAGGATGTATCAATAGAAATTCAGTTGAAATAGCATAATATTATTTCTATCCCAGTACAAGAAGATAGCTTCGATCAAACATAGAGAATAGAAGTACAATGCACAAGATATAACGTTTCAGGTAAAACTAAATCACTGATTTGCCACTTCAGGTGGCTTTTCCATACTTGGTATTGCTAGGATTTGAGTTTGTGCTAAATTCCAGAGAACAAATAATAAACAAAGAAGTTTTGGCATTCAGTTTCTTCTTCCACTAAATTCTGTTATGCTCCTTTAAAATACGAGAAATTATCTACATGGATTTTTCAACTTCAAAAAATTAAATGAAGACATAATTGAGAACCCAAACAGAGTTAACCACCTGGAATGACCTAACTCTGACATGTTAAAAAATTCAGATAAAAGATGAGATGGAACTCAGTAGTTGAAGGGCTGCCTAAAATGAATGTATATCACACTCCATCATTTAATTTCGTAAGATACTTTTTACATATAAGTCACTGCCTTTTAAAAGAATTGATGCTTATAAAAAGAATTCAAATAGCCATAACACCCTCTATCACGTTTGAAATTTTTTATTAAACGATTTTTAGTAAATTTTGATAAAAGTTGGTGAAATGTTTAGTTGAAAAGTTGTTTTGAAATTTTAACATGATTTTAATCGCCACCAAACAGGGGCTGAATGAATTATGCACTTACATATACTATATCATTGTAAAGAGACCTATTGACAATGTGGACGCTAACAAAATGCACGAGTTTTGCATAGTTAATGCACCGTATGAACCTTACAGCATGAGTCAGTTTATCCTAACTACGTGAAATTCTTGTAAAATTCATTTAACAAAAAACTCACATATGAACTTCACTAATTTGTGAACAGAGGACCAACCTCTTCATCAAAGGACCAAGGCTCGTGATTAGCGCTATTTTTCAGAGAATGCCCACGACAAAATGGAAACATAGCACCCACACCCATCCACCTTCTAAACAGCTTTGATTCTGCATTCCCAATATATCCACCAATATCTGATCCTGAATATGGTTGTCCACTAAGCCCCTGGACACAATTTCATTAATGTGAGCAACTATCGGGAGGGGAAAAAATTAAAATTGGCAGCATTTTTTCAATTCAATGAAAAATTCAGTAAGGCAGACTCTCCCAAGCATCTGTGCCGAGACGATAAAAGTTGGAGAATAAAATAGAAATATCATTATATCATAGGAAGAAAGGATAAGTACCGGACTCACTTTTTATCTCCCTCTTCCATCAAAATAATACTCGAATAAAAGCACATATTTTACGATTATAGATTCTTAGCACATGCACATAAATTCATTCTCACACGTGCATGCATACACGAGTATTAGCATATGCTTTCAAGTCCCTCATGAGGCTTGTCAGTTGCAGAAACATGCTTCCAAATCCCTCCTCGTGGGCTTGAAGTATGCACATTTGACATCGATAAATAACACAAGCAACAAATCTAACATCCTGTGCCCATGAGAGATATCCTACGATCTCCCTCAGGTGATCTCCTCCAATAATTTGGTATCTTGCTACCATTGACAGCAAAAGTATTTCTCAGTTACTGATAGCATACAAATACTGTAAGGGAAGCTGAAATGAACCTGTTAAAATATTCCTCCAAAGTTGTGAATTATTCATCTTTTAATTACTGTAGATGTTAATTTGTTCTTTCACATCCCTTAACTACGTGAATAAACGACAAATGATATAACTATCTGAGGTGCATTTCTTACTCATTTTGTCCATTCTCAAGCTTTTTTGAGGCGATACTGTGTTATATATCTCTATTAGCTCTTAACATTAAGGGTAATTGCAAAGGTCCATATGGAGGATTAATATTATGTAAGCTAAAGAAAAGAATTCCACAAAATAATCCATTGTTAGGTTTGGTAATGTGTTGTTGGAGGTGAATGAGCCCAAGTTTTAACTACCGACGACACCAAAATGTAAAAAAGTTTTTGAGTCTGGAACACTGAAAAACAAAAAAAAAAAAAGAAAAAAAAGGATACTATGGTGTCTCCTTAATTTACAGTTTCCAAATATATATTTCGTAATATCTTCCACTTACCAGATTAAGAACCATAGGGATACTCATACGAAGGTGCTCCCAATTAGACCTGTTAGCTCCTGTCCAAGTAGCAGCATACCTTTGGCTTCCCACAAACCCAGCTCGAGTAAGCATAAATGGGCGTTTTTTGTCATTAGCTAGTTTCATGCCTTCATATGTTGATCTTGCCATCAGCATACCATAAACCTGAAATAAGGAACTGATATCAGTGAATCAAAACTCATAATATTATACATAATGTGAAAGAAAATCATTAATTATTACATTATTTTTCATTTTTTCGTACTAGGCAAACTAAAAAGCTTCAGCTACGCTTATCAATTTCATGAGTAAGGGCCAAGTAGTACATTGTGATAGTGTGAATGGTCCTGTTTGCCACCGTATTCTGGATCTCCCCTATGAATAATGCTATCAGGCATTGTCGTCTGCAAGAAAATATGTTACACAAAACCAGAAATTAAAGAAATGCACTTCTAAAAAATTTTGAACTTCACCTCCGAAACTCTCGGTTCATTCAGATCAATCCATATACCATCCACACCATTAGTAACGAAGTCCTTGACATGACTAGCCCACCATGAACGGGCTTCTGATTTTGTGAAATCTGGAAATACCCACCCCTCCCCTAAATAGAAGCAAATAAAATTAATATTATCGAACAAAAAGAAGTAAAAGTTCAAACAAACAAAATATTTCCTCTGACCACGAGTTCGTGCATTTTTCCAGTTTACTTCTTCTTCCTTTTTTTTTTTTTTTCGCAGTTTTGTGCAATGTGGTGAGAAGGGATGGAGGTATTTCAAGTACCTACAAAAGGCTCCCCACCAGCAGTTTGAATCCAGATATCTTCTTTAGAACCACTGTTGTAGATGATATAGCCATCTTCATGTTTGATCCATGGGTGAAGCAGCCAGACTGCTTTGAAATCATTTTGATGAAGATAGTTTGCAAGAGATTTTGGATCCGAGAACCGGTCCTAAGATAGATATAAACAACAAAAGTATGTTTTGTAATTCATCTCTAGAACAAATCAACTTTTTAAGTAGATGGAACATGCCTTATGAAATGTGAAACATCGAGAACCATCCATGTAATCTATGTCCATCCATATGACATCACAAGGTATTTTTTTTTCACGAAATGTACTTGCAATCTGCATTGGGCAAGTGAAAAATGAGCTTAACGTTAAATGTAAACATGCTTGAAGAAACTAGTTGAAATTTAACGACAGTAATAACAAATGAGCTTCCTCATAACAAAATTCCAAGTTCAAATTGTTCGTGTTACACAAGAAAGTTCATAGCATTTAAAGAGGACAACAAATTTAAGACTAAGAAAACTAACATATTCAAAAACGGAAAGAAGAATTAAATGATGGAGAAAGAAGTAAGAGTATGTGCAAATAAGAAATCTGAACACCATATATAGTCAACCTCACGAACTCGTTGATCAGAATCATAGCTGAAACGAGATTGATGATAGCCCAATGACCATTTGGGAGGCATAAAAACAGTACCTGGTAGCAAAATTCCTCAATCAAATAAAAGCAGCAGGGAAGGTACGTAGACAGAGCAAAACAATAATAGCATATGACGAAAGATAATATGGAAAGTATTGACACATTAGACTTTTTGTATAACTCAAATAATATGGAAAGTAAGAACGCAACATTATTTTTTATTTTTACCTGCAACTCAACTTGTGGCTAGTTGGAAGGGGAAGATTACAAGAAGACTAGAGCACAAGCAAAAGCGTACTCTTGGTTTAAAATTATGTAACAACAGATAAAAGTCAGAATTTATGAATTTCTGTAACAAAGGGAGCAGAAAAGGAAACATTATGAATGTGAATAAACCCCTAGTGATCAGTAAGATTATGCTCTATACAGTCCCAAATACCCCTAAGTAGAGACGTAAAAAATATTTGGAACGAATGGAAATTGAAAGTAAAGATCGTAATTACCAACGGCACGGGAGAAAGACATAAGAACATCTTCTGGTGAATCAAATGGACCAAATGTGATCAAAGGATATGATATTGGAGCTACGATCTTTATATTGGATTCCTTACTCAAGTCAATCTGCTCAAGCAACAACCTGACTTTTAAAAAGCTATTTGACTAATAATTAATCTCACAAAATAACCGAGAAACTCACAAGTACCTTACATCGTCTTGTAGTATCTGCAAGAACCCCTAGTGCTTTTCCATCACTGAGAACCGCTAGTACCCAAGGATGTGATTGATACAAGGAAGTTGTCTTCTCATCATAGCCGTGCGCATCAGTATTCCAAGTAACAATCTGTTTATAATAAAGGTAGAACGCACTTGAAGAACAGTATACAGCTATACTTAGTTACTTGAAAGCTGGATCGAGTTGCTTACTGTCTTTCCGGTTCGCTCCAGCTGCCCACTAACTTCTCCAGTTCCATAAAAAGAGGTGCCAGGCGGCAACTAAAACGCAGAAAAGTTCGATCCATTATATTATGATATCTAATTTATAAAAACTATGGAATCAATATGTTTTAACGACATCCAAGTATGTAAAAGTCTGAAAGAGCGATGATAAATAGTATTACCTCAATATTGACTCTTTGTTTTTTATTAACAAGCTCAAATGTAGGAGTGTAGGTGGGATCTACGTCACTGCTAGTAATTGGTGTATCCCTGCATTTTGGATTTTTGAAAGATAAGCTCGGTAATGTATTATTTCTATCTTCCACTGAACAGTCAAAACGAAAAACTCCTTTCTCAAGAATTGGAACAGGTATCATTTCACTCGATTGCACCTTGGAGCGTGTAGTCCCTTCATGCTTTTCCATTTTATATACTACTAATGTTTCACCAATCAATCTCTTTGTCACCATATATATATATATATATATATATATATATATATATATATATATAATATTAAAGATATTCTGAACTTGGGATGACAGCAACATATGTTCCATACTTGGGAAGACAGCAACATATGTTCCATACTTGGGAGGACAGCAACATATGTTCCAAACTAGAGAGAAAGCAAAGTATATTCCAATATTTCGCACGATAAATATTTAAGTAAATGAAATATAAAATCTAAATACTTGGAAGCATACAAATCTATTTTAGAATATGGAAAAGTAAGCAATGACGTCGAACCCATAAAGATTGTATTGAAAGCCTAATTTAATCTAAATTATTTATAACTCTAGTCTAGTTGAAAACATTCGAGTTTGTTTTTGAAATAACTAAAGAAAAAGACAATGAGTAAATGAAATCAACGTAAATAATTAGAAAGAGGATTCAAGCGATTGAAATTACCAAGGTTTCATATATCACGACTGTTGGGAAAACACCTCCCAAAGATTGCCCAAGATCAAACAAAGTTGACAATGTGAAAAAATTCAAACTACTTCAAGAACAAGAAAATGGGGAAGAAATGATTTCAATGGATAAATGGAGAACAATGTGTTTGGATTACTTGAACAAGCCTCAAGTTAATCCCCAAGAAAGAAAATAACTTTGAATTTATACCCAAGATGATCAACCTCAATCTTGTAAAATTCTATCCAAGTTTTCTCTCTTTTCTTCTCTTAAAATCGGGCTCTAGGTCTTGTGTTTATCAAGGAGGGAAAAAAAACTGGCCATATATATACCTATCGAGGCGCCAAGGCGCCCAAGAGTGGCGCCTAGGCGCCATGTTTCTGATTTGCTCCAGCACTTGGGGCGCCTAGGCACCACTTGAGTGGCGCCTAGGTGCCATGCCACTTCTCTTCTCTTCCCTCTTCTATTCCTCCTTCTTCTACTTTTCTCTTTTCTCACAATTCTCCACCTCGTACATCATTTGATAGACCTCAAATTTTGGAAGACCACAAGAAGAAGTAGCAAGCACCAAAAAACTCGACTGCACCATTCAAACCATGATTGAATACGTACCCAAAACTCGGGATCAAGCCTTCGTAGTTCACCTCCACCTTCATAAACTCTCCACCTCATTTCAACCCCGCCTCAAAGGGCCATGCCCACTCGGGCATATCAACATGGACTAATGTGAAGCAAGTCCAAGCAATGTTGAAACTTGCTACCCGTTACCACTTTGGTTAACATGTCAGCTGGGTTCTCATTTGTGTGTACCTTCGAGAGTGAAATATCACCTTTCTCTATGACATCACACACAAAATGATACCTGACGTCGATATGCTTGGTTCGAGCATGATGAACCTGATTCTTAGCCAAGTGAATTGCACTCTGGCTATCACACCACAAGTCCTCACAATCCTGCTCAATCCCCAAGTCATCTAGAAGACCCCATAACCACAATGCTTCCTTCACTCCCTCTGCCATGGCCATATACTCGGCCTCTGTAGTAGAAAGAGCAACTGTAGCCTGTAACATCAATCGCCAACTAACTGGGGCACCATGTATGCAAAACACATATCCAGTAGTAGATCGTCGTCTATCTAGATCACCTGCATAATCCGAGTCGACAAACCCACTTATATGACATGCATCTCCACCAAAACATAAACCCGTATCCGCAGTACCTTTTAAGTACCTCAGGATCCACTTCACAGCTTCCTAGTGTGCCTTCCCCGGATTCGCCATGAATCTACTGACCACACTAACCGCCTGTGAAATATCTGGGCGTGTACACACCATAGCATACATCAAACTGTCAACTGCACTAGCATAAGGCACACGATCCATGCGTACCTTTTCTTCCGCTGTAGTAGGAGACTGTTTACCAGAGAGCCTGAAATGTGGAGCCAATGGAGTCACCACCGACTTTGCACCTTGCAACCCGAACCTAGCAATAACCCGCTCAATGTAGCCTTTCTGAATCAAGAACATTTGCCAGTTCATCCTCTCTCTTCTAATCTCCATACCCAGTATTTTCCTAGCAGCCCCCATATTCTTCATCTCAAACTCTTTACCAAGTTGAGATTTCAACCTATCTATCTCCACCTTGCTTTTCGAAGCGATAAGCATGTCATCCACATACAATAGAAGATAGATATTGTTACCTCCCCGAAGTTTCCGAATATAAACACAACAGTCATACTCACTTCTGGAGAAACTATGCTTTAGCATGAAGAAGTCAAATCGCTTGTACCACTGCCGAGGAGATTGCTTCAATCCATATAGTGCTTTTCTCAAGCGATATACCTGACGTTCCTTATCCTCAACCTTGTAGCCCTCAGGTTGATGCATATAGATCTCCTCATCCAAGTCCTCGTGCAAGAAGGCGATTTTGACATCGAGTTGTTCCAGCTCAAGATCATGATGAGCAACAATACTCAATAGCACCTGAATGGAAGTGTGCTTGACCACAGGAGAAAGATCTCATTGTAGTCAACTCCTTCTCTTTGTGCAAACCCCTTAGCCACTAACCTTGCTTTAAATCTTGTACCACCGAGCTTGGTAGGATCCTCTTTCTTTTTGTACAACCACTTGCAACCAATAGCTTTCTTATCTATGGGCAATGGGACAACCTCCCATGTTTGGTTCTTGTGAAGTGATTCCATCTCTTATTCCATTGCTGCCAACCAACTCTCACTATTGTTGTTTAAAATAGCTTCCTTGAAAGTGGTAGGCTCATCATCCTCCACCTAGAGTGCATACTCAACCAAATTTGTCTGCCCATAGTGCCTCAAAGGCTCGTTTGACCCCAACTTTAGAACTTGCTTGTAAGTACGGCGTGGCCTAGAGGAAGCCAAGTTATCTGCAAGCTGCTGCTGTTGCTGTGCCTGTACATTCTCTTGCTGAATCGCCTCTTGTTCAAGTGCATCATCATTTTCATCTTGAGTGTCTATTTGATGCTCCTCTTGAACATGCCTAGAATCAGGTTGGTCTCTAGATTTTATGTCAACAACTTGAGACATTGTAGTCTCAACATCATCACCACCGGGCACTGTAGCTTTCAACGAAGCTATCATGGAGTTCTCATTAAAAGTAACGTCTCTGCTGATTATGAACTTAGAATCCTCTACACACCAAAGGCGAAAGCCTTTAACACCTGCTGCCTACCCCAAGAATATAGCCTTTTTGGCCCTCGCATCGAGCTTTCCCTCGTTAACATGATAGTAGGCTGTGCATTCGAATGTTCTGAGTTTCTCATAATCTGCATGTTCTCCTGTCAATACCCTATAAGGTACATCTCCATCTAACCTTGAATGTGGAGACCGGTTCACTATGTAGCAAGCATTTGCAACCGACTCTGCCCACCATTCTCTGCCCAAACCAGCATAGGATCGCATACACATCGATTTCTCTCGAAATGTGCGATTCAATCTTTCCGCGACCCCATTCTGTTGCGGTGTATTTCTAACTGTCCAGTGTCTCACAATGCCTTCCTTACCACAGAACTCCTTGAAAGCACCATATGTATACTCAGTACCGTTATCAGATTGCAGTGTCTTCAATTTCTTTCCTGTTCTGTTTTCAACCATTGCTTTTCACTTCTTGAAAGTGTCGAATACCTCATTCTTATGCTTCAAAAAATAAATCCAAGCATATCTAGAATAATCATCAACAAATGTAACAAAATACCTGAAACCGCCTTTGGAAGTGACAGAAGCCGGACCCCATACATCCGTGTGCACATAGTCAAGAATGCCTCTGCTTCTATGTTTGCTTGGCTAGAACTGAACTTGGCATGCTTTACCGTACACGCAATGCTCGCAAAAATCCATGCAAGGCTTCTTCAAGTTCTTTAGCAAACCTTTCTTGACTAGCAAATCTAGCCCCTTTTCAGTCATACGCCCAAGCCTCCTATGCCATAGCCGAGTGCACTCACATGGGTCTCCACCACTTCCACTTGTTCCAACTGCTACATTTTCAGTAACTGTAGTACCCTGAAGAGCATAGAGATTTCCTTCACGAATACCCTTCATCACAATCAAAGAACCACGAACAACCTTCTTTACTCCATTCCATGTTACAATCTTGCAACCACCGGAGTCTAAGGCACCAACAGAGATAAGGTTCTTTCGCAAATCAGGAACATGTCTAACATCCATCAATGTTCTAACCACTCCATCATGCATCTTGATTCTAATTGAACCGAGCCCCACCGTTTTACAGGAATGGTTATTACCCATCAATACGGTTCCACCATCAGTGCTTCTATAGGTAGTAAACCACTTCTTATTTGGACACATATGGTAAGAGCATCCAGAGTCAAGAATCCACTTACCGGAGGTTTCTTCATCACAAGAGATGGTGTAGCACTCATCGATTTCCCCTCCTTCCGAGGCATAGCTTACCTCTTGCTTGACTTGCACCTTCCCGTTGTTGTTGTTCTTATTGTTCTTCTTCCAACCCTTTTTGTTAGGACAGTTCGCCTTGAAATGTCCAAGCTCGTCGCATTTGAAACAAGACCTTTCCACAAGAGGTCTAGAACTCGATCTAGATTTTTCTCCCTTACCCTTTAGTCGCACATTGCTTCTACCCCTCACAAACAATCCTTGAGCTTGCTCCTTGTTACCAATGGTAGACATGCCACTAGTTGCAATCTTTCGAAGATCATCCGCTAGAAGTGACGTTCTAGTGTCTTCCATCACAAATTTATCACCCACAAGCATCAATGTTTGTACTAGGTTCTCGTAAGACTTTGGCAGTGAAAAAAGTAGTAGAAGTGCTTGATCCTCATCATCTACTTCCACATCAATGTCCTTCAAGTCTGATATGATCCTATCAAACTTGTTTACGTACTCTCGGATTGGTGTACTTTCATCCATCTTGCAAGTATACAATTTGGACTTCAAATAGATCCGATTTGTTAGAGTCTTCATCATAAAGTTCGCCTCCAACTTTGTCCACACCTCCGCCGCCGTTACCTCACTATCAACCAAGAAAGCAACAT